TATATAAATATAATTATATGTTTATTGTAAAAAAGTTCATTTATTTATATATGATATTTCAAAAATAAATAAATAATAAACATTTTTACAGTTTTAATCATTGTTAATAAAAAATATAGCTTAGGTAAATGTATTTAATGAAACCATTAACTTTACAAACATACTAAATTATTAATTAAGTTAATTTTATGGGGTTGAATATATAGATTTTTATATGATCAGTAAGGTCTGGATTTTTGGGTGCATTTTTAGAATAGATTAGGTGCTCATTTGGGTGCTACTTTGAGTGCTTTTAAATGCTGTATTATTAAGACAAAAACCAACAAGAAATATTATATTTAAAAACTACATAGTTGTCTATTGCAATTTACACATAAAGATAGCATTGCAATTTACAACAGTAACTATTTCAATATTCTTAAAAGTGAAGTTTTCTCATTTGGAGGATAGAATGTCTTTATATAACAAAAAAGACTTTTTTACGTTGACTGAGACTAAGGGGGCATGTTTCATTTTTAATTGGAATTCTAGTTCAGTGCAATTCAAAATACTTTTCAAATTGGAATTTTTTTTCATAAACTAGATCTGAGTTTGTCCAGGACAAAACCATCCAGTACATCAAGTGCCTGACTTACAATGTTCCACTGATCCCTCATTTCAGTTCCACGTCTTTCCAGCTCATTAATTTTATCCACCAATAACTTTACAAATGCACAGAGCTCTGTGGTCACTAATGGATCAGCAACCAGTTTCTTGACCCTATTGACAGCTGCAGAATCACCAGGAGGAAGTTCATTGATAAACACATTAATTTTCTCAAAGTTCTCACAATAGAATACCACACTGTTTATCCAAGACCGCTGGCTGGGTGGTAATGGCAGCCCAGTTACATCTTGGTACAAGCGCTTCCAACCAGGGCACTTGAGAAGAACCATTTTCATTTTCAAAATGAAGTTGTTGGCCTTGCTATATTCTACTCGAATACATTCACATACTCTGTGTAGGGCGTGGGCAAGATAAGTCACATGCTTTTATAGATGCACTTCTAATTTGAGAATGCTGACAACATGTAAGATGGTTGATCTGTGACAAGCAAACCTTTTTGTACTGGTCACAACTTGACACAAACATCATTGAAAGCTTTGGACACTGTAGGTGAATTTGTATTTTCAAGTTGGTACATTTTGAACAACATTGGTTGCATATAGTATCTGGTTAGTGGTGCAACAAGAATGTTCAGCATGTACCGTTTTGTGGAATCTGTTGTTTCATCCAAAACACTACAGGATTGTCTCTGACAACATCCAGGATTTTAGATATTGTTTGATCATAAACTGGCTTCACAATGTTTTTTCCTAAGAGTGCTCTCATCTCGAAATTCTGCTCGAATAAATATCTGCTTGAAATTCCTTTTTTTTTTTTTTTTGCCTTCTCTATTGTTTTCCAAACTCATGTGTTGCCTGATTTTCATTTCTTAGTGTTTCACATCAACCAAAATCACATAATTGCAAATGGAACAGCAAAGAACTTTTCCATCTGTGCATACGCCTCCATCTTTAAACTTATTTGCTAAAATGTTCAGTTTAGATGTAGACAATTTTGCCATTTTCTAATGTTGCCAACACCAAACAAAGGAATTGGAACTGTTGCACTCACAAGTCAGGGTAAAGTGATCTGAATATAGAATTTTCTAGATTGTTCTTTTCTTAGAAAAGAAAACACATGTTGCACATTTACAGTGAATCTGTATACATTCTTATAACAATCCTAAGGCTTAGTTGTTTAGTCCAGTAAATTCCCCTTTACCTCCTTCTCTCAACAAAAGAAGAGAGTAAGCTAATTATCGTATTTTTTTCCTCAGCATATGTGGTCCGGTTTAATGAATTTGTTTTTTCCCCTCAAGTGAATGAATAAAAATCACCAAAAAGAGAGATAATTGTCAACATATTTTTTGAAAATGTAAAAAAGGGGAAGGTGGGTGCAAAATATATAGTTTGGATTCTAGTTGCCATTTTGAGGGCAGGTTTGTGGTTTTGGTGCATTTGGATGCTAAACAATTTGGCAATGAGTGGGCCTACTGCACTAAAACTGACATAGTTTGTCTTTTTACACTCTGCCAGTTTCAAAAACTGAGTGGGTGCAGCAGCCAAAAATCCAGACCTTAATGATCAGATAATTTCAATCACACTAGAGTTTAACAACATACACTGAAGAATTACTTATTAATTATTAAAAATGTTTTGACTGTGTTATATAGTTCAAAAATTTACAAGACTTGAAAAATTTTGATTATTCCACAATTTAATCTTCAAAGATATGGGCAGGGATACCCACAGGAACAAAAGGAGCAGATTGCCCTAGGTCTGTAGGAATGTTTTTTTTTTTTTTTTGTACTTCCTATAATATAATTTAATGTTTTATAGAGTCTCAATATGTATTTTCTCCAAGCTCCCATTATCCTCTGGACAGCCCTGAGTATTGGATTAATAGTTTTGTTCCACATAACTAAATTTACAATAGTTGGTGATGAAGAATTATTGAAAATACTTTTACAAATTTCTATTTTTTACTTCAATTTTAAGTTTTTTTTGGAAATTATTTGAAATTAATACAANAATAATTTTAAAATTTTTATTTTTCATACTATATTAAATATTTTCTCATTGTAGTAATCAGGTAGTCTATCTGATATTGTATATCTGAAAAATATAGAAAACAGAAAAGAATTTTCTAGTTAAATTCATTTGTTATTTAGTAAATACTATACACTAATACACTAACAATGATCATTTTTATTATAATCAAAATGATCATCATTAGTGTATTTTAAACTATTAGTTTACTAAATACATCAATTTTCAATTAATGAGTTTATTATTTGTTTGAGCAAGATAAATATATTTAAGTTTATTTATGTAGATACAGTCTTTTCTTGGATGAAGATTAGGAGAAGATTGATTAGTTTATATTGCTGTCATTATTTTTCTACAATATTTACCATTAAATAATATATAGTATGTAATTAAAAAAATGCATAAACTTTCCATACAATCTAATATTTTTTTCATTTAGCATTTTTGATTATGAAATTATTTTCAACATAGTTATTTGTATTTAATTTAAAAATTTAATAATTCTTCTACTGTAAAATAGAGGATTAAATTAATCACAATTGTTTGTGAACAAAATTGTTTAATTGACACAAATTGAGGACAAAAGTAGAAATACAAAGCATTTTTTATTTTAATAATTTACTATTCAAATAAATGCAAATACTGTGACATAAAAGATTTATTTTCTGATTATAGAACTAAAATTAAAACAAGCAAAAATTATTGTGACATCTTCACAATGCTAGGCTGTAATTTTTAATCATTTTTAAAAATTTATTTAATTAAAAATATATCCTCTTGATCACAAATTAGTAGTGTCTTGTCCCTGCACATCATATTTTTCTTGATAACAACAGTGTCATGCCAGTTATCTATGTAACTCCATTCTGGGGAAAATTTTTGAATTTAAATCATGTGACTTCTGGTTTAAACTAGAAGTTCTTATATAGTTAATTGGGGCCTCTTGCCCCTAGCCCAGGGATGGCGAACCTTTTTGAGTCTGCGTGCCACATAGTAAGCATATTAAGCATACTTTTCTTTAAAAATGTTTATGCATGCAGAAGTTTTAGACTTTGAGTAACTACACTTAAATTTGGCCGAATGGCTGAACAGTCAAAGTGGTAGCTTATTGCTCTTGTGGACCCAAGGTCAAAACCCCAGAAAATTTTCAGATGGTGATCCATTCTTCAACACTTGGCTGTCCCATTGTGGGTTTGCAAAATAAAAAAGTCCTCTTAGTGCCCACAGGTCGAAAAGAATTTTAAAAAACTATATTTAAATAAATACAAGTAAAATAATATGCTGTAATTAGAGTGAATGTAAAGAACCTGATTGAAAGATGATAAACATGCTGGTTGATCTCTTCGACGTGCCACTTTGAGCATGCATGCCATAGGTTCGCCACCTCTGCCCTACGCTTTCCATATCTGGTCTCATCTTTCATATATCTAACTCCAGTCTCGAGATTAAGGAAAGACAGATGGATGGAAAACAGTTGGAATTTATAGGTCTACGATTTTTTCATATTGCAGCCCAGCAAGATCTATTATGATTACATTAACATTTGAACTTTATTTTTTTATATAGTATAACAATAAATTAATGAGCTATTGAAGGATTAAAAGACTATTATCTTTTCAGATTTTATGAAAAGGTTTATCTTAAAAAAGAAAATTGGTGAAATATGTTCATTTGAATAATGTAGTATTTATACTTTCAAATTATTTTAATAAAAAATTTTTGTATTCACACAAGCTTTCAATAAAAATTTAGATATTCAACTCTAATTTTATTTATCCAGGCTATCAGGTATGGAAAGCATTAGAGAATGGCGTATCTCAGTATCCCAGATTAGATGGTAGATTTCCTCAAGTAGCTGGAATTAGTTTCAAGTTTGATCCCATGAAACCGCCAGGTGAAAGAATTGATCCTGCAGATATCAAAGTTAGCTTTGAACCTTTGGATATGAATCAAGTATTTTACATTTTATGTAAATTATATGTAGTTGTTATCATATTTAGCTATACTATTTCATTGTTTAATAATTGAATAGTGGGATATATTGGTTGATCAAACAAAAAGACTTGCAAAAAATAGCATGAGGAGTTTGGCAATGCTGCAAGTCAGATTTGGTAATGCTATAAGATAGTTTTTTTTTCTTTAATGCATCTCAAGAAATATTTAAATCTTGAAAATTTATATATTATGGACATAAGAGATAATAATTGAAACTTTAAATAAATAAATAAAATGTTTCTGGACAACCCTTATGTCATAAGAGGCTAAATTTGATTATTTTTGTAACTGTATGAACAAAACTAAAACATCATTTACTCACTTCAAATAAATGCATTAAAGATTTCATTGAATTTGCTTTTGAATATATGTAAATATTCTTAATCCAATTATCTTCAATAATCAGATTTTTACATCAGATCAGATTGTTTTTCTCAGATAACATTTTATTTACAACGATTCTGTTTTTGTTACACACAGTCTGTAGACCACCACTTTTTAAAAACTTTGTAAACATAGAAAATTGGGATATTTACACATGAATTGTTGCCTTAATTTTCAGTAAGTTTTTTATATAACTTTACACTATGAAAACTCTATTCTGTAGTGTAAGGCAAATGTTCTTTTTCATGGGCTTACATTCAAATAGTCCAGACATCACAGATTCCCTGGCAATTTCAAAAATCTGAAATTCAGAAGTAGAATTATTGTACTCATAACACATGTATTAATAAGTAGAAAACTTGTTCTTAATTTAATGAGAAGGCTGATGCTGCATCTAAGTGACAACCTTGAAAATATACTGTGTAGTTGGAATACTGGATAAACCGATTCTGAGTTTTTATTCAACGATTTCTATATTTATTTTTAATATAAAATAATGTTCAGAAATCTTTTTCACATGTTTATGTGAGTGATAATTAAATTAAAATTTTCATTATTCTTTCTGAGAATTTTAGATGGATCACATTTAGCCAAAAATTCTAAGAGAATTTGTATTGAACTACTATTTCAAAACACCATCTGTATAGATTTCTATCAAGTTATTTTCTTCTCTTGCTGTCAGTTTTTTGATTTTGTTAATATTTACCATGGAAGGATCCCAAATCCAATTTTTTTCTTATATTTGGAATGAAAAAATATATTGCCTTTAAGGTTTTGTAAACTTGGTCAAATCTTCCAAAAATCTTATTAGTTATTTATTTGAGTCAAGAAAGGTTCAGGGAATAAAATTTATAAACACTCAATTGGAACATGATTTCACATTCAACTGACAAGTGTACTTATTTATTTATACTATTTAATTAATTTTTGTAACATTGACAAAGTATTCTAAAGTATTCCAGACTTTCTAAGCAAGCCTTATGGTCACCTAGTATCCACAGACTACAGGTTAATAATCAGTGATATAAAGCATTTTCAGTTATTGTGACACTTAATTTAAATAACAATAACAGGCTAAAAGACTAAACTTGAGAATCAGTAATATGTCAGCCAAAAGCCATCAACTGATGGAGTTGCCAAACTTCTCAGGACTCCTGTTTTTATTTGATCACCTGGTATAATATGTGTCTTAGATTAATGTAGAAAAAGTATAGCATTTATATATATTATATATCAAAATAAATTTGCTTTTTACACATTAAAATAATATTTTGTTTTTTATTTTACAAAATACTAAAGCTGCAAATATTATGACTTTGAATTAACTTTGTTTAAAGTCATAGTACAGGGCTAGTCACAGTTTCACTTATGATGGATCTGATCTGCAACAGTGTTGAACAGCATAGATGTGAGAGATGAAAGGTTCTTATCTATACCAGCCATTATAAATTATGGGAATCTGAATTGGATTCAAACCTGAATCTATAACGGTAGAGAGGTTCTTTATCGTACACTATCTGACTTTTAAGTGATATACAGTATTTTATATAGTTTGTTTTGTAATTTGAATTGAATATGCTTGCCAAAGAATCTTAGTAATATCTTATTAAATTATTTCTAAAAATAATACAAAAACAAATTGAGAAGTAGTGAAGACAATTGCATATAATTGATGAAATATTGTGACAATGCCGAAGGGCCTCCCTATACTTCGGCACCACGTGTCTGAAGGGTCAACATTGCGTCGGTGAAGATTGCAATGACAAGTTTTGTCGGGACTGACACCACTGTGTCTTCACGGTTAGACACAGAAACCATTTCGTTTGGGCGTGAGTGGTCGCGTGAGCAATCAGAGTGATTCCTTAGTAGACTAGATTAATGTAACAAATGTTTAATGGGTAATGATAGGGAATACATATCTTACAATATGTTGCTAGTAAAGTTCGATAGTAAAGTTAACTGAGTGTTCTCGAGAGAGAGAGAGAGAGTTTACAATTCATACGCGTGGCGATAAATACTTTTTTTTTTTTTTTTTTGATATCTTGATCTGGATCCAGTCGGTAAGACAGAAAGTTTGGGAAGGTAGTGTTAAGTCCAATAGTTCTGACTTTTTCCTTTGATATTAGGCGATTCTTGATATTCAAATGCGAAGAGGTATCCCAAGGAGCACAGATATTATGTAGAAGTAATCCGATGGAAGAACTGGCGACGACTGACTCACTTTGTTGTTCTTGTCTAATGTTGAACTGTTAAAATCACGATACTAGGTCGAAAGGTGATGAGAAAGCGTCTTTATTAGGTCTGAGAACTTAACAGAGATTTAACTCCCAGGTGTAAAAGTTGATAGTTATTGAACAAAAGTATAACTACACTGTGATCTTATGACACCGTGGAATGAAAGTATGACTACAATGTGATCTTATGATGAAATGATATAAACACACGGAAAGTCTGGATTTGGATCCTCACAATAATTAATACTTATGGAACTTAATTTTACAAAATTTAATAAAAATTACATTGCAAACTGTTGTTATTAAGGTAATTTGTCTGCTATATATTATTATAAATGTGTTACTTTTTCTGAAAAACTGGTTGAAACAGTAAGAATTTAAGCTTAATATTTGAATAATAAATTTAAAAAATAAACATTGAAAATTGTTTATATATGCTTTTGTAGGATAAAAGATGTAACATTTTTTAAATTGCATACATCAGTTATTCTGTCATTATAGTCCAGTTATCAATTTTATTAAGTATCACTTAATGATGATCAATGCATAATTATATATAATCATAAAATCAAAAAAATATATAAATAATTATTTAAATCAAAATCACATTTAATAAATACAAATGTATTAAAAACTTTAAACAGGTGTAGAAATAAAATATTTTAAAAATAGTAATATAACTTGTTATATTTTGAAAATAACTTTTAATTCAATAAAATATTAAAAGATTGTTACCTTATAAATGCTGAAATGAAAATTAAATTTCAAATTCCTATCCAAAAAGTTACATTTTAAGCTATTACTTAGTTATGTTTATGCTTAATGATTTGTTTTAAATTAGTAGTGGAAAAGCAGTGGCATATAATGAGATACTTGTGGCCAAAAGCTTATAAATTTTGTTTAAGACTGTCCAAGATTATCAATTAAAATTTTAATTTAAATAAAATATTTAAATAATTGGCATTAGATTTTACAATCTTTGTAACAACAATATCTAAAATAACATATAAAGGATGTTTTTTCAATTCTTACACTTCAATTTTTGGTACCCTGTATCAAAAATTGAGAATTCCAGGTTTCTCTAGACAACTTTCAGATTTTTCTACAATTAAAATAGTTTATATTTTTTTTATAATATTTCCATTAATTAACAAATGTTTACACGTGCAGTGCTAATTAATATTTCAAATATTAAGCATGAATGTTAAACTGAGATGGGAAACATCTTAAAACAAGTTTTTATTCAAGAGGTCTTAAAACATTACGTCAGAACAAAAATTGTTTTTGAGAACAACAAATGGTCTCTCTTAATCTATTTAAACTGGTGTTTTTTTTTTTTTTTTTTCAGAATTTTAAACGNACAAATTTTTTTTATAATTTTTAAAAAGTATTTTTAATTTAAACACTATTTTATCTATTTTTATATATTTAAAACTTAAAAACGTTGCCAAAAACTAGACTTAAAGACATTCCTTCTGCATATAAGTAAGGTTTCTTTTAACTTTTTTAAATACATAAGACCTTCTCAAATAATTAAATATGAAAATTTAAAAAGTTTAAAAATATACAAAAACTAGTTTTAAAAGATATAAAATTTTTATATATTTTTACATAAAAAATTCATAAATATCCACAAGAAATTTTGATATAAATACCTGATTTTTGAATGAAGATCTTATGCTAGACCTATACTCATATGCTAAATTTCTTCTATTTTCACTCATAAATCTTAAAGAAAAATTTATAAATAAAATTATTATAAAATATAATATTTTATACATGATTTCGCATATAAAATTTATAAATATTTCCAAAGAAAAATGAGTATTTTAGACGCAAAATCTAATGTTCTAGACCTATACTCATGCTCTAGATTTCTTCTCTTCTAAGCCATAAAACTAAGAATAAAATCTATAAATAAAATAACTTAGATAGATAAATTAATTTAAATAACATTTAAAATACTTTTTATATAAAGTTAATTAACCTTATTTAAAAAAATAACGACGTAGATGAAACCTTGTTACTGAATTAAGATGTTTAATGATATGACTAAGTATGAATTCAATTTAATTGCTTGGAATTAGCATAATTTTCCGAAAAGATGTTTATATTTCATTCCATACTCGTACATAATTATCATAATTAAAAGATAATAACTCTATCTTAATGCATTCTACTCGTAAACGTGACATTTTCAATTGAAGATGCTGATATCTTTATCACTGCTCTTGGTGTTCTTTCTGTATTATGTAACTTAATGCCATCCCTAACTGTACTTTTATATCATTTACAGCTGCTAGTTTACAAATTATTTAAGAATTTAATACTCTAAATATCGTATCTAAACCCATTTTTCTCTTATATAACTTTCAGCTGACTCGACTGTTATACAGTTGCCCATTAATGTCTGATTTAATCATTTACCATTTTGGCTCTTTCCACTTGGATGAAGAAAGTCGAATTCGATCCATGTCTTGAAAGAATGATGATTTTTCAACCTTGTACTACTGCCCAGTGGGGTAAACTGGACAGTAGTAGTAAAGATAGACTGAAAGAGTGGGGAGATGTAGTTTGGCCCATTGCCTTTGACTTACTACTCGCTACGTGAACAACAATATGACATTATCCTGATTTAAGACTCCACTACTTTATCTTTTTAACCGACAAAGAACAAGTATGACTTCATATATTAACCAGTTAAACAAAAGTCAACCGAATGGGATTCGATAAAAATGTTAAATTGTTATTGTTTCGAGTCGTATTTTACACAGAATTTACTTATTGTTTACGTGTTTTAAGAGAAAAATATTTATTTATTCCATTAATTTTCTTTATTTTTATGTTTTAAAAGTTATTTTATTAAATAATTTAAGCTTTTTCATATAAAATAAATAGTATTTCTTCGTTTTAGAATATAAAAATTATGTATTTATTAATGAATATAATGACGTCTTACCATACTTTTCACACCGAATTTGTCCACTCTTCACCAGTTTGAATTCAGAAAAATGATAAATTTTTGAATAATTATCCTTATTTTATGTTTAAAAATAAATTTATTAGTGTATTTTAATGTAAAAAAGACTAAAAAATTCTTCATTTAATACATAAAATTATACATTTTTGAACAGAAAAAAAAACTACACATTGCTACACTTCTCACACGAAATTTTACTCATTCGAATGGCAGAAAACTAATAAAATTAAGGATAATTGATCAAAAATTTATGTTTAAAATTAAATTTCGTAATGATTTTTAAATAAAACAAACAGAAATCTTTCATTTGGAATATAAAATTAAGCATTTCTCGAGCAAAGAAAATTAGACGTTCCCATACTCCGATTAGTTTCATTTATCATATTTAATGTATCGTTAAAAGTATCATAATTTTTAATTATTGATAATTGTAGATCCAATTATCATCTTTAGAACTAATGTTTAATAATTATTCAGCAAAGAGATAAGTAGTCTTTGTGAGTAATGAAAGGGGAATTGATACGAAAGCGCAAGTAAAGTTGTAAGTCTATTTATAATGTCTAGAACAGAAGGAAAAAAAAAAGAAAAAAGGAGCAAGTGGAAAATAAATGCTTGGTATTTTCTTTAGGTCAGCGCATCGAGATCTCTATTTTAAGTATTTCCTAGTAATTAATTTTATTATATAATAAACAAGAGCGAGATTGTAAAACAATTTTCATGTAATAAATGAAAGAATAATATTTTCTTTGTCCTAAATTTACTCGTTTTGTAACACTAAAGGATCCACTTGTATACGTTATAAATGCGCGCTGCTGTTTGAAAAACCTTTAAAAAATACTTTAAATTGTAAATAGAATTAAGAAAACAATTAATAAAATAAATAATTATAGTGTAAAGTTTCAAAATTTCATAAATAAATGTAATTCAAGCGTTTGAAAAGGGTCACAAATTCACTCGCTCTTATTTACTTCTTCGCTATTTTTCTTCGATAATTCTGATGTTTTTTTCTTATTTTTCTATATTTTCGTCTTGTATAAGCGTTAAAAATAAGGATAATTAAAGTTTATGTTAAGTTATATAAGTGTATTATATAAATCAACGCGTGTGTTGTAGGTAAAAGCATCAACTCTTCTCGACTCATTCGTTCGTAGTAGTAAATTTAATGATTGAATTGTGCTAATACAACCATAAACTCAAATTTCAAATTAACTGAAGCACTTAGTTATAAAAGGTATTTTAATGCCTTTACTCATTTATAGAATAATATCTTATTGAGTAATTAATTTCTATTGCCAAATGACTTTAAGCTTTCTCCATTATTTATTTTTAGAATAAAAATATTATTATTATGGGCTATATATATTTTCTTCTAATTTAAGGTAAATTTCTTGATTTTTAATTTAATTTTGCATTTATCTTTAAGCGAGTAAAAGTATTTCTACTTGAAAATAAGTCAAGATTTGAATGAAATGTAACATTTTAAAAGTAGTTTCTGTGTCTGTGTGCGTATATTTTCATATTTACATACTTGGTATGTGTTTTTATACATTTATATCTATATATCTATACACATACTGTGTTTACATATCAGTATTTCTGCACATAGTTTACATATCATGCTATAATACATACATATGTATGCTATAATACATACATATGTAGAACCTAGTGTGTACAGTATGTATGTATGTATTTCATTATTCATGTAGCTATATATATTTATTTATACTGTAGAATATACATACATGTGTGCTTCTGTTTTATGTACTATACTGTACCTCATGAGCACACATCAGTGCATGTATGCATTAAAAAAAAAATAAATAAATATATATATATATATATATATAAGTATGTGTTATCTGCAAGCTATTGGTACGTTTACAACATATGCTTTTTCAACATATTTCAGGTATTTTGAGTATGATTTCAACGTTTACGTGTATACCTTGGTATGCATATTATGTATTATGTAAGCTGTAGGTATAAATATATTCGTGTATAAGCCTCTAGTCTTCAAGTAAACTAATACATTTTCTGACTAAAAAAATATGGGCATATATCTGGCAAATTATGCGCCTAAACTATGGAAAAATACAGGATTTTATCCCAAGAAACGATGGAAAAAAATATAAAAACGTAGTTTTAGTATGAACACTTTATTTTTTTACTTTATGTAACACAGATTTTTAGAAGATCCAAAAGTAGAAAGTGAATAGTTTAAGATATTTAAAAATTCTATAACAGTAACACAGCATGCCTTTAACATGACACAATACACAATAATATTTAACACGGAGAAATTTACATACAGGTCACACACACTTTCAAGTATTTATATATGAAAAAAAAACATGACATTATTAGCATATATGACCTCAAATATACACACAAAATTTAAATAATTTCATAAAAATTTAGTCTCGTGTAGGGGATGAGGCACGTAAATTAACACGTGTATCACGATAAAAAATATAAGATAATTTGTAAATTTTAATAATTATTAATATAGAAAATTACTCGAATGAATATTTTATAAATATAATACACAATTAAAACCTTAATTTCTATTAATTAAAAGATTATTTTGAAATTTTTAACGATTGAAATTAGCGCAGCATCACACAATTTACCAACCAGTAATTAAATGATGAAAGTAGGCTAATTTAAATACCGAAATGGTATCATTAACTAATGTAAAATATGATATCAAACCGGAAACGAGTGACGTCACAAACGATGATACCTCCCGCAACGTAATACATTCGTTATCTACATAACTTAAGAAATTATTTGAAAATTTACCACCGAAAAGTTGAATATTTTTTAATAAGATTTTGTTTGTCAACTGTTTATTTTTCCCATTTTGTTAATAATTCATTTTGAAATCTTTTGTAAATTGTTTAGGTTTACCTTGTTGCCACAAAAAAATATTGTGCCTTAGGAAGAGATGGATATGAAGCTCTGAAGAAATGTGAAATTATAGTATGTGTCTTTTTTAATATTTATAATAAAATGTAACGTTATTTTCAATAAAAAAATAAAGATTATAACTATTATTGTTTTTTATGTAGACTGATGAAGAAAACACACCCGAATTATGTATTTCAGTTCAAAATCACTTCAGATCCATAAAGATTTTGATGGGTGCTGCAAGGCAACGTTCTCATCACAGACAGAGTTTATTTTGTGTTTCAAGAAGGTAAATATTATTAATAATTTTTTAATTTTTAAAGTTGCTTTAGGTTCTGGTCATAGTTTTAAAAGATGAGTTCAACTGAAATAATTCAATCAATCAAGTGTAATGGCCAACTCAATCTTGTCAGTTTGCCATTGCACTCGAGTTCTTTTGATCATTTGTTTTTGGTAAGGGATATTTTGAAAAGGTATGCATCTTTTTGATGAATTCTGACAAAATGTTACCTGTTTGATAAACATTACTTAGTTTTATTTCCTAGTTGCCTTGATTGGCAAGTCAATAAAATGGCAAAAAAAATTCCATGGATGTGTGTGTTGGTGTCTATTTTGTAATATCTCAAGATGGGGTAAAGATTAAGAAGTGAAATTTGGCATGGTATCTTGTGTTTAAGGGGCATTAATGCTATTAAATTTTGGTGATGAAAGGTTGAGGGGGTCGTCATGTGTCATATCTCAAATGGGTTTGGATTTAATGAAAATTTTAGTTGTTAGCATATACAGTTTTTTATATAAAATTCATCTCTACCCTCAAAATTAAGCATTTTGCCATTTTATAATTAAAAATATAGAAAGTTTTTATAACAAAATCTCATAACAGATGGTGCCACAAAATTTTATATATTTATTATGATTAATAATATAAACGATATTTTAAAAATAAAATCTCATAACAGCCAGAAAGTTATGAAACTCGTTCCTAGATTTTTTTGAAAAGTAAGCCATGGACCCCATACTTGTTGAAAGTTTTGGTATCCATGGAGTAGCTGCAGTTGATAAGTGTCTGTGCAGTAGCTGCAGTTGATAGGTAGATAGCAATATGCCTTCACCCAGAATTGGTCAAGTGTACAGTATATTGAAAAATGTTTTCAATGAGATATCATAAGTCATGTCAAGAAACTATTGCAAAAATGAGTGTTTAAAAAGTTTGGATTTTTATGTACTGTACATGATACCATGGACTCCAGAGGTCTGCAAACTGTCAAATGGGAAAGATCTAGAGCAGTGGTTCCCAATTTGTTTTTCCTGCGTACCACTTCAAGAAAGAGCTCAAACTCACGTACCCCTTATAGCAGAAATTCATATTAATCCATACTAATATTATAAATTTGAAGGTAATTCTGTCTGTCTGTAAACTGCCAGACAGGTTTTAATAAAATTTGGCACAGAGATAGCTTACATGTTGGAGATGGACATAGGCTACATTTTACTGCCAGAAAATATCTTACTCCCACGAGAAAATTCAATATAATGCAAGCGAAGGTGCAGGTAGACAGCTAGTGATAAGTAGAATAAGTTTTTTTTTACATTTATTACCTTTAAAATACAATTCTAATAATAATAATAAAAATAACATAAGGTTATTTAATTTTAATGCGACAAATGTGCACGATTTTCTTTGCACAACTTTGTAAAATCTGGTTGCTTTTTGGTCAGAGGTTATTTAATTTTAATGTGACAAATGTGCACGATTTTCTTTGCACAACTTTGTAAAATCTGGTTGCTTTTTGGTCAGCTTCAGTCTCGAGTCATCTTCAAGTTGAAGTCAGTGACAATGTTTAGTTTTCATGTTTGTCATGGCCGAAAATCCGCTCTCGCAGAGGTATGTTTTGCAAAACGGTAGTAAATATTTTATTGTCGCTTCGCTGACATGATGATAATGATAATTGTACAATTTTTATTTCTTGCATAAGAATTTCAATTAGGTTTTGTCACAAATGCATTTTTTTGATGAAATTTCGAGAATATTTTTAGTTATAAACAAACAAATTTGTGCATTCGACATCATGTTGTAAATTGCCAAATTTTTGATGGTCCATCCATTATTTTTTTGATTGCTTCATTTCTTGCATTTAAATTTTAAATTGATAGATTTTAGATTGCCGTGCGTACCCCTTCATGCAATTTCGCGTACCCCTGGGGGTACGCATACCACTAATTGGGAACCATTGATCTAGAGGATTTAGTCTTGTTTACAGAGAAATCCAAACCAGCATAGGCAAAACATTTTTGTCCCTCTGGCTAAGTTCCCCGTTGTGTTTCAAGTTGATTTGCTTGCTGTTTTTGGGCTGTAATTTGAAAAAATTGTAGCCTATAATTCCCACTGTTGTCCATCTGTCTTTCCTTAATTAATCTTAAGAACGGAGTTAGATAGATGAAAGACAAAACTAGATATGGAAACATTAGGAGCAGTAGGCCCCAATTAACTATATCATGTTATTTCAATTCAAACATTTTTCCCTGAAAGGTGTTAGATAGATGATTGGCACAGCTCGATTGCTAAAGGAAAAGTATAATGTACAGAGGCAACTACAGTACTAATTTCAGGTGGAGAGCATTTATTTTAAATTAAATGAATTAAAATTTGCAGCCTGACATAAATAAAATGATCATTTTACATAGGTGTCCTCTTAATAAGGCTACCTTCTGTACTGTTTCTGACAGTCAGGCTGCTTTGAAGGCACTTGACTTTTGTCATTTCAGTTCTTGTCTGGGAGTGCTGTTTTGCATCTGACAAGTGAATGAAATTGGCTGCCTACAATAGTTTCTCTTATGGGTGCAGAGCTGGTTATGTAAGAGCTAATCTACTGGCCAAGAAGGAAGCTTCATACCTCTTTGTAGGACATGAGCCAGATCTTAGAATTTCTTCCAATAATTTTTCTAGAGCTGTCAATGATTGGACTGTTACCAGTCATTTAAAGCAGTGGATTATTTTTGGATTAAGTCAGAGCAAGACATTTTTGTCTGACTTGCTCTGTGTGAACTTTCTAGCTTTTAGCATGAATCATGTCTGATTTTGGTCACTTTTGTAAACATTTATACCAAATGAAACTTTCCTCCTTAGCCTTTTGCAGCTCTGCTGAAGAGACTTCTCTTCATCTGATTTGCAAGAATAAAGACCTTTTCTAGGGCAACCCCAAATTGTTCTTTAGAGGCCTAGAGATGTCTCCCAGCTTTAGAGGTTTGCTTTCTTCATGGAGATAGAATTTCTTAAGTAATATTGCATGAGTGCATAATGGATCATTCAGGTTGAGGTGCTTTTGACTTTACCCTTACATAATCTATAGTCTGCCTGTACAAGATATGAATTCAAAAATAAAGTGCATAAAAATGTAGAAATTAACATATGAAAGAAAGAATATCGAATAGAAAGTCATAGTTTGAGAATCAAATTCAGATTTCAATAAGTTTGTGTGTAGCTTTCATTTTCCTTCTTAATTATTGTGATTTCTTGACTATCAATGCCAAAGTCAGTGCAAGTTTTCAGCATTCTTGTGTCAAATATTTGCTCATTATAGTTTTTGCATGAACCATAGTAAATTAACATTCTAATGATTTATGAGTTTCAATATTTTATGTATTTACAAGTTTTGTAATTTTAGAGCCAGTCTGCGGCATTTTGACGAGATACCCAGTTTCTCTGGTCTGATGCGATCCATGAGCTGCGATACCATTGCTCCAGATATACCACTGGTGCGTACTGTTTCTATTGAAGAGATTGAACACGAACAGTGTAGATTGGCCCCAAAAGTCGAAGGAAGGATACAGATATTAACTGAAGAAGTAAGAATGATAATTTCTAAATTATCTGTTAGCAATCAATTATTAAGTATAACTTTGCTTTGTTTATTACAGTTCAAAGAGAAATTAGAACGTGAGAAAAGCCAATTGTCTATATTAAACGATGTCATCGAAGAAGTCTCGGAACTATAATTTNTTTGAAACAAAAAAGTTATGCATTCCGTCACGTACATAAACAGTGTCGTAATTCGTCAATTGCAAATCATCAAATTCGTAAAATTTTTGTTTATTTTGAACAATCCGGATAATCGAAAATCCGGATAATGGAGGTCCGGATAATGGAGGTTCTACTGTACCACAAATTATTGCTTGCAATTTGCCTGGAAAAAGTCTGAGACCAGGATCAAAAAAGCACAATAGAAACAAAATGTAATAGGGAAAAGCAATGTATAATACTTAATTTGTTTATCATTAACCTGAATAATAATCAATTAATCAGTCATGGATGTAGTAAGAGTTGTTAGCCTTTCAAGACCAATTTCATCTAAAGCAGTCACAATTGCTTTTTTAAGATCAGAAACATTATTAAATTGTTTTCCATTGGTATTAACCACTCTTACTAAATCACCCCAAAGGTTTTCTATTGGATTTCAATTCAGGTTACACAGTGGATGTATGCAAATTAAGTTGCAATGTCTATTATATTTTAGAGTTGTAAAATATGAAGTTTTGATTATGGTCTCAAACTTTTTCCAGGATTGTGTGTACAGTAAGCTTACTCCAGAGGCATGTGTCCCCCTTTGTCATTGGGTTGTCCTTTTCTTAATCCCAAAGGGGTGTTCTAAGGTTTTATTTTATTTTTAAATTAGTTATTCATTTTTATCACAGAAAATATTTTTACTAATGACAAAATTAAAGTAAAATGAGCAATTATTTATTGTGACATCATTACAATTTCGGACTGCAATTTTTAATCATATTTTTAATTTATTTTATTTAAAATGTATGCTCTCCGCCTCAAATTAGTAGTTTTACCCCTGTACATCATATTTTTTTCTGTTAGAAATTGAGTTGTATCTCTTTTTGGGGAAAATTTTTGAATTGAAATAACATGACTTCCGGTTTGCACTGGAAGTTCATATATAGTTAATCAGGGCTTCCTTTCCTTAAGGGGTTTTCATATCTGGTCTTGACTTTCATCTAACTCTGTTCAAGAGATTAAGTAAGGAAGGATGACAGTGGGAATTTATAGGTCTATAATTTTTTCAAATTGCAGCCTAAATATTTGTTATTAACTGAAAATTTGTTTTAGAGTATTGTGATTGTTTCTTCATTGATTATTAAGGTACCACTGTATTTGATTAATGCAATTTTAATATATGTGGTAGCATCAAGGGATTAATTAGCTGCGTTAATCAAGAGATACCAGTATACATATATTTTATATAATATATATATACATGTGTGTGTATGTACAGTATATTTTATTAATGTACATATGATGCCCTTTTTAATAGCTCTTGTGCCCTCTCCTTTTTTTGTAGCTGTATCCTTTTTGTGGACACTGCTGTATATACCATGCTAGGATAAAACGACATCCAGCTGAGTGCCATCAGTGGTACAGATAGCCCTCGGTTTACACCTCAGTTCCGTTCCTACAAAAGCTGGCGCAAATCGAATCGGTGTAAAACGAACCTGTATTTACAGTGAGGTATATGGTTAGGTTCTACATAAGTGAAAAATAAGCTAATAATTTTGTTTATTAATACAATATAATACAAAATACATATAAATTTTTAAAATGTATTTTATCATAAAATAAAGTAAAATGTTTTTATTTAAAAGTTTTAGTTTCAAATTTCTTACATTTTTCGGAAAAAAGTATCCATCTTTAATTGTTTACATTTTTGATNTTGTTTTTTCATTTGAATGAATAATTAATTTGAATAGATTCATCCAATTTATTTTCTCTTGACGGCGATGAAAAGAATGGTGAAACCATTCTGTTTGATTAAAAATGCTCATAGTTGAAAATAAACCTTTAAACGTTTAAAATTTTAATAATTTACGATTAATTTCTGCTGCCGAACCGATAAAAATCATAACACGACCCGATCCAACCAAAAATTTGATAAATTGAATTTTCTGAAAAACCGACGTAACCATTTACTATTCTAAAGATCCTTTTCGAAACAAATTAAATAGTAAATTATATTTAATATGTTTCATAAGGTTACTAAAAATCATAAACAATTATTTCGTCTCATCTCCCGAGAAATTCCGAAAAAAAAATAAAATATTATTATGAATAAAAAATGGCAATTTTCGATTTTTCCATAATCCTGTTACCACCTGGCAACAGTGATGTAACGAATTAGCAGTTTGACAATGGGAAGCGGTCAGCGCCATCTAATGTCGGAAGTAAGAATGACAAATTGGAGGAATCGTGGAGTTTTTACATCTTTTGTTGGTTCGGGTAGAAACATGTTCAAGTTATAGGAATTAGTAAAAAAAAAAAAGGAAAGATCAACCATCGCTTGTGTCAAACGCGTGGCAAAGGTATCGATAAAGGAAAAATCTCGCTTGAAATGACCTAAAGTAGAGACGAAGAGAGAAACTAAATGCAGCTGCTGTCTAGAAGAATGGATTGTTTTGTTGATTTGCGCTTGTAAATGCTAAAAGAACGGTTTTCAATTATGATTAATTTCATTTCTAATGGAATCGTTTAGTTAAATTGGTTACGAGAGAATTCGAGTTTGTGTTGGAATAATAATAATTATAATAATAATGTTCGATTGGGAGGAAGGCGATCGTTTTTCCTTCGAAGACAGCGATCGCTTCGAAGAAGATTCACTTTGCTCATGGATAAGTGAACCCGAAAGTCTCTGCAACAATTGGAGAGGTTGGAAAAGACAGAACGGAAACAATAACGTTTCTGGAAGCTATCATGCCGCTTTTATTAAAAACAAAGGTGAGTTTCATCTCTGTTAACGGATATAATTGCTTGCGACCATAACATTACATTCAATAATTGTTCTATTTCTTAATTTAATTATCTATTATCGCATTAATTGTTAATTTCGTTAACGTTTAATGTAACCAATTTCAATTGTGATAAATTTAATTCTTTGAATATAATGTTCTTGTTTTTTTTTTTAAACAGTTTCCATCTGTTTAATAATTTTTTTTGTTTTTCTAATGTATTAAATTATCAATGGTTTGATTGTTTGGTAAGTGCTAAGTGTGTCTCTTTAAAATATATTTTTAGTTGCCATCGAACAATAAAGAGGATGGTGTGTGTTTTTTTCTTATTTTTAATATTGTGAAATTTTAATAAAAACTGTACCCGTAGCAAATCTGTGCATCTCTGCGATGTTTAAATCAAATTTGTAAACTTTCCTTTTGTCGTAGTAATTTGGTAAAATTTAACTGTTGTTAATGGTAAGAGTGCCATTGAACCGAATTGCATTACTTACTTCAAAATACAGAAATTTATTCAAATAAAACTCAGATTTAAAATATTGATGGTAAATTTTACTCTGTGTGTTTAATATAATTGTGTTACAGAGTTTTATTTAAATTAGAATAAAGTATTTGTTTTTTTACTAGCTAAAAAAATCTGAGAATATAATTCTCAATTTTGTAATAGTTTGTTTCATACAAGTGAGATGGCAGAACTCTAGGCAACTGGGTTTTCTAAGTTTTTACACCAAATGAATGCAGAATGTCTATTAAAGCAAAGTTATTTTTATTAGTTTATAGTAAAACATAATTTGCACAGTGGTTTTGTATTTTGTAATGAAATGTTTCAGTATTTGCATATTTATAATTTCATATTTGATACATTTATACTTATGTAAAAACATCAAAGTTTACATTTATAATCAAGATGAAATGACAATTCTTATGGAATAAAAACAATAGTGTCTGTGTAATATGTGGCAATGCATTGTGCAAACTGTAATATGATTAAAATATTTTGTTACGAAACCAACAACATGAAACAACTAAAGTTATGATTTAACAGGATATAGTATGAAACTGATGCTATAAACTTATGTCATATTCTGGAATTCATTGTCTAGAATATAAAATTTGAAATAAAAGAATATTTAAATAATAAACATTTCTAATATGTTAACTTATAAATGCATGCTTGGTTCTAAACATGTTAAGAAAATAATTGGTTAAAAATTAAAATTTTTTGTTTATAATAATTTTCATATCCATTGAAAGGATTTGATTGAAAATTAAATTTCTGAGAAAAAATTAAAAATTGATTATTTATTTATTGTATTTTACTTTGAGATTTATATCTTTTTCTAAAGATTCACAACACTGAAAAATTCCAATGTTTAAATTTTGAATGCATTATGAAACTTATATAATTTAAGATAAATGGAAAATTAAAAAAGGAATTGTCTAAAAAAAAAGATATATTAAAGAATATTGACCAGAGAAAAACCAACTCATCAATAAATAGCATTATATAAGTTACTGATAAAATAGTATTTTGGGATTAAAGATATTCAGCTATTTTCTAATGAATATGCTTTTTATGATATTAAAAAAATTCTAGTACAAGTTCATCATCATAGGAAATTGCTCTTAAAGACTTATTTGTAAAGAATGTTTATTATGCTTCTAGAAATGAAAATAAAAATATAGCCACAGAATGGAACGACTTATTTTGTAAGGAACAGCTTTTTTTTATCCCCTACAGACTGGAAAAAATACAAAAAATCTTTTGCCAGTTTAGTTTTATTTAGAATCTACAGATTCTTTTGCTGTAAGAAGACATTTTCTTCAGTAGATACTTTTTATTATGTAGCATTTTATGAAAATTTACTGTTAATTTTCAATGAAGATAGATTGATGGATTGAAAAATATATATTTACTAATATAATAGTCAGAAAATAAGAATTTGAATTTTCTTGGAATTGCATTTTGTTTTTCCTAAAATAATCATTAGTTTGATTTAATGGGCATACACATATTAAAAGTAGTGAAATATTAACTATTTATTGCTATTTTACATTATACTAAATAATTATTTAGAGTATAAAAATTAAATTTCACTTCTGTATCCCTTCAGTAAAAGGTATTCATATCCAGTTCTTTAATGAAGTTTTTTCTGTTTTTGCTAATTGTAATTAGTTAAAAATACATTTATTTAATAATTAAGCAGTTATATTTAACAATTTTACATCTATTAATATTTATTTGACAAAGTTATTTAATTGTATATTGAATGATTACATTAATAATTTTCATAATATTGGGTTTGAAAAGTAATTTAATTTTTTACCACCAGAGGGATTAGTTGTATTTTTACCCATCAATTTCATTCTAAATTGTATTGTCATTATATATTATGATAGCTGACATTTCAAGGCTTATTTGTAAAAAGTTTTGTTTGATTCTGCACAATTTTTTTTTTTTTGGTGTCCCATCAAATATGAAAAATCAAAAGCAGCAATTTTGGTATATTTTGCTTTTTTATTACCAAAAAGGTAAAAATGCTGTTCAAGCAAGAAAAAAATTGTATGACATGTATGGAGATGTGTTGACAGAACGACAATGCCAAAACTGGTTTGCAAAATTTCCATATTGAAGATGCACCATGTTCCGGAAGGCCAGTTGATGCTGATGAAGACAAAATAAACGTATTGATTAAAGCAAATTTGCTGAATAACAACATAAGAAATCACTAAGAGATTAAGTTTATCAAATTCAATCTTTTATGATCACTTGAAATGACTTAGTTTCATTTCAAAGCTCGATGTATGGGTTCCATATGTTCTTAAAGAAAGAGATTTGCTTTGTTGCATTGACATCTGTGATTTGCTTCTCAAATGTCAAGAAAATGATCCATTTTTGAAGCAAATCATAACTGGTGATGAGAAATGGATTGTTTATAACAATGTCGAACAAAGGTGATCATGGAGTAGAAGAGATGAGTCAGCTCAAAGCACTTCAAAAGCCAATATTTATAAAAAAAAAAGTGATGCTCTCTGTTTGGTGGGATTTTAAGGGAATTTTTTTTTTTTTTTAGCTTCTACCAGCCAATTCCACTATTGATTCAGAAGTATACTGCTGTCAACTGAACAAATTGAGTTAAACCATCAAACAGAAAAGACCAGAATTAATCAACAGAAAAGATGTGTTTCACCATGATAATGTCAGACCTCACATGAGTTTGGTAACTCATCAGAAGCTGTTACATCTTTGATGTGATGTGCTATCACACCCACCTTATTTGCCAGATCTGGCACTGTCGGATTATTACTTGTTCTGGTCTTTACAAAATTTTTTAAATGGTAAAACATTTACTTCAAATGAAGCTATCAAAAATCACTTGGATCAGTTTTTTGTAAGCATAGATCAGAACTTTTATTAGTGTGGAATCATGCTACTACCAGAAAGATGGCAAAAGGTATTGGACCAAAGTGGTCAATACATAATTTAATAAAATATTTATATATTATAAGAAAATTATTTCTTTTTATGAAAAAAAATGAAATTACTTTCCAAACAACTTAATATAATAATTTAATGTAGTCAATACAGAAATGGATCCAGTATACATAATAAATAAATAATACAGAAATGGCTTAGCTTGAGATTTGAATGTCTTTGACACATTGGATGATAATGTCTAGATCAGTGGTTCACAATTAGTTTTTTCTGCGTACCACTTCAAGAAAGAGCTCAAATTTGCGTACCCTTTATAGCAGAAATTCATATTAACCCATACTAATATTATAAATTCAGAGATAATTCTGTCTTATGTCTGTTATCTTTTCACATCTAAATCACTGAACAGGTTTTAATAAAATTTGGCACAGAGATAGCTTACATGTTGGAGATGGACATAGGCTACATTTTACTGTGAGAAAATATCTTACTCCCACGAGAAAATTCAATATAATGCGGGCAAAGCTGTGGGTTAGTGTTGCCACCTTTTCAAAATCGCTGACCCGGACGGCAGGTGAGGTTTGTTTGAACAGAAGTTCCTGTTGCATGCACAATGCCATTTTGCAATGCAAAGAATAACATGCAGTGCATGCTGGTTCTAAATCAGTTACAGTTAGAGACTAGGAACATTTGGGTAGGAGTAACATAAGTAACCTAAATTAAGAAAGAACAACTACAGATGACTTAGCTCTATTGGATATTGGAGATGTGCATGAATACGAATCGTACAAGATAAAAAAAAAAATAGGTCGACAGGTTGCGCACGATATTTCCGGGCAAAATTAATAGTTCACCCAGACAGTGAATCAATTCCTGGACTGTCTGGGTGAAAACCGGATGGGTGGTAACACTAATGTGGGTAGACAGCAAGTGATAAATAGAATAAGTTTTTTTACATTTATTACCTTTAAAATACAATTCTAATAATAATGAAAATAACATAAGGTTGTTTAAGGTTGTTTAATTTTAATGTGACAAATGTGCACGATTTTCTTTGCACAACTTTGTAAAATCTGGTTGCTTTTTGGTCAGCTTCAGTCTCGAGTCATCTTCAAGTTGAAGTCAGTGACAATGTTTAGTTTTCATGTTTGTCATGGCCGAAAATCCGCTCTCGCAGAGGTATGTTTTGCAAAACGGTAGTAAATATTTTATTGTCGCTTCGCTGACATGATGATAATGATAATTGTACAATTTTTATTTCTTGCATAAGAATTTCAATTAGGTTTTGTCACAAATGCATTTTTTTGATGAAATTTCGAGAATATTTTTAGTTATAAACAAACAAATTTGTGCATTCGACATCATGTTGTAAATTGCCAAATTTTTGATGGTCCATCCATTATTTTTTTGATTGCTTCATTTCTTGCATTTAAATTTTAAATTGATAGATTTTAGATTGCCGTGCGTACCCCTTCATGCAATTTCGCGTACCCCTGGGGGTACGCATACCACTAATTGGGAACCATTGATCTAGAGGATTTAGTCTTGTTTACAGAGAAATCCAAACCAGCATAGGCAAAACATTTTTGTCCCTCTGGCTAAGTTCCCCGTTGTGTTTCAAGTTGATTTGCTTGCTGTTTTTGGGCTGTAATTTGAAAAAATTGTAGCCTATAATTCCCACTGTTGTCCATCTGTCTTTCCTTAATTAATCTTAAGAACGGAGTTAGATAGATGAAAGACAAAACTAGATATGGAAACATTAGGAGCAGTAGGCCCCAATTAACTATATCATGTTATTTCAATTCAAACATTTTTCCCTGAAAGGTGTTAGATAGATGATTGGCACAGCTCGATTGCTAAAGGAAAAGTATAATGTACAGAGGCAACTACAGTACTAATTTCAGGTGGAGAGCATTTATTTTAAATTAAATGAATTAAAATTTGCAGCCTGACATAAATAAAATGATCATTTTACATAGGTGTCCTCTTAATAAGGCTACCTTCTGTACTGTTTCTGACAGTCAGGCTGCTTTGAAGGCACTTGACTTTTGTCATTTCAGTTCTTGTCTGGGAGTGCTGTTTTGCATCTGACAAGTGAATGAAATTGGCTGCCTACAATAGTTTCTCTTATGGGTGCAGAGCTGGTTATGTAAGAGCTAATCTACTGGCCAAGAAGGAAGCTTCATACCTCTTTGTAGGACATGAGCCAGATCTTAGAATTTCTTCCAATAATTTTTCTAGAGCTGTCAATGATTGGACTGTTACCAGTCATTTAAAGCAGTGGATTATTTTTGGATTAAGTCAGAGCAAGACATTTTTGTCTGACTTGCTCTGTGTGAACTTTCTAGCTTTTAGCATGAATCATGTCTGATTTTGGTCACTTTTGTAAACATTTATACCAAATGAAACTTTCCTCCTTAGCCTTTTGCAGCTCTGCTGAAGAGACTTCTCTTCATCTGATTTGCAAGAATAAAGACCTTTTCTAGGGCAACCCCAAATTGTTCTTTAGAGGCCTAGAGATGTCTCCCAGCTTTAGAGGTTTGCTTTCTTCATGGAGATAGAATTTCTTAAGTAATATTGCATGAGTGCATAATGGATCATTCAGGTTGAGGTGCTTTTGACTTTACCCTTACATAATCTATAGTCTGCCTGTACAAGATATGAATTCAAAAATAAAGTGCATAAAAATGTAGAAATTAACATATGAAAGAAAGAATATCGAATAGAAAGTCATAGTTTGAGAATCAAATTCAGATTTCAATAAGTTTGTGTGTAGCTTTCATTTTCCTTCTTAATTATTGTGATTTCTTGACTATCAATGCCAAAGTCAGTGCAAGTTTTCAGCATTCTTGTGTCAAATATTTGCTCATTATAGTTTTTGCATGAACCATAGTAAATTAACATTCTAATGATTTATGAGTTTCAATATTTTATGTATTTACAAGTTTTGTAATTTTAGAGCCAGTCTGCGGCATTTTGACGAGATACCCAGTTTCTCTGGTCTGATGCGATCCATGAGCTGCGATACCATTGCTCCAGATATACCACTGGTGCGTACTGTTTCTATTGAAGAGATTGAACACGAACAGTGTAGATTGGCCCCAAAAGTCGAAGGAAGGATACAGATATTAACTGAAGAAGTAAGAATGATAATTTCTAAATTATCTGTTAGCAATCAATTATTAAGTATAACTTTGCTTTGTTTATTACAGTTCAAAGAGAAATTAGAACGTGAGAAAAGCCAATTGTCTATATTAAACGATGTCATCGAAGAAGTCTCGGAACTATAATTTAGTTTTATATTATATTATATATATATATATATAGTTTATTTATTATTATATATAAAACTATTACAGTTGTTTGTATCAAACTTATCTAGTCATCTTTTCAAAATTTATACTTACAAAAACAAAAGTTAGGAATTAATATAGCTGCAGTTACTCAATTTTTTTTATTAGTATTTAAATTTTTGCTCAATTTTGCATGTCTATTGTTGAGATTTGAATGCTTTATTTTAAATAACTTATGTTGTACTATAAAAATTTGTTGATAGGATTGTTTTTTATAGCAAAATTTATACCAGATAAATTTTTTATTGAAAATTTTTAGATTAAATTAGATTTGCACAAAAGTTGTTAAAATAATATATATATATATATAATCCACGTTATATTTTGATGCAGAATTTATACAATTGTTAATTATTAGAAGTATTTTTCATCTGCTTTCTATATTAAATTGGATATAGAATTAGATAAGAATGTATTTTAAGAAAATATTATTCTTCCCTGTGTCGGGATCATGCACTTCTATATATTTCTCAATTGGAAGACAGAATATTTTCTGACAAGGTTCTTAATTCTCATTCTGTATCACACAGAAAATGTGAAATTCTCAGAATTTGTGCTTATGTTATGCTAAAATGGTAAATATAATATACTTGTAATTTGAAGTACTGTATCAGAACTTTATATTGAATGATGCATTTAGAAGTAAACTGTGTGTAAAAGAATTTCAAACAACTTTATTTATTATCATACAAAAAGAAAACTGTTCAACTTTACATAACATAATAAATTATATATTTTTTATTCAATTGTACAATCATTTTAAATTTTACTCCAAACAAATAGTGCTGTGGGTGCATTTAATCAAATAGAGATTTATGCATTACCTAATATTCTGAATGTTACAAATTGAATTAGATACATAACCAGAAGAATATTTTTACAAAAAGTAATTCAAATTCTTTACATTAATATTCAAAATGCATGAAGTATCTTCACTTGAGTTGGACTGTTCAATCATAAAATAATTCCTCCTCCAGAAAATTCCATTCTCTGAAATTTGAATAGAATAAGTGTTCGATATACTACTTGTGTTCATTATTTATTGTACGTACCTGTTGTGGTTCGACAAAGTCTAACCAGTCTGAAGCGTGTGTTGGGAGTAATCCCATTGAAGAGCACTTGTAAAGAGCCAGAGCCAAACACACGACATTACCAAATAAATACACTATTTTCTGAAATAGTGCCTGTCCTCCTTCAATCAGTTTGAATGCTATCAAAGAAAATAAATTGTGAAATGGGGAAAACAGTAAAAAAGAGCAGAAACTTAAACTATTGTTTACTCGACTGTATCGTGATCAGTGCCTTTACTGGACGGAGAAATAACATTCCAACCATCATGATGGGAAAAATGGAAATAGAATTTCCGGCCATGTACATAATAAAAAGATTCATTGGAACTTGTTTTAGTGGTGCAAGGGCTATATCCCAAGATTTCTGGAAAGAAAAATTTTTGACTTACAAAACTGCTTGGGGAAAACAAATTTATATCACATCCATCACCCACCTTTACTATTAAAGTGGCGTCGGTTTCTTTGCTCGCTTCGGCATGTACTTGTCCCAGTGAAGAGCTATATCCTGGAGGAGAGGGTAATTCCATTTGTCTTTCTAATTTGCTTCTAGAAAATAACATAGAGCAAATTTAAGAAATTTTTAGATTAAAAAAAGTTTAAATGAAATTTATAGTCAAAACACAAGAAAACAAATTCTGATTTAACAATAAATTTAATTATTAATAACTGAAAATATAAACTTTCTTTGAGAGAAGAAATATATTGAATGTATTAACACTTTTCTCTTTTTCAATATTAGCATTTGTTATTAATTAAAACAGTTAACTAACAGTGTTTTCTGACAAATTGTTTATAATTCCAAAATAAAAGTTCTTGCAGAGTTCACTGAAGAAATTTCTTTCATCATGTAATTCAAAGAGGGGCAACCTTTTTCTATGTAAAGGTCACATTTAAAACTTTTGAACTGATATAGGCCATATACAAGATAAAGACGAAAAATGCAGGGAAATCACAATTTATTTATTCATATACTTACAATAATTTATAATTTGACTTCTGTCGCTGATGTGAGTGTAATATATCTGAAATATTCGGTTGAATATTAGCTGCTGCTAGTTTTCATGCAAGTCTGTTAGCTGATTTCTTTTTTACTTTGTATTAAATTTTTACTGAATTGTAGAAAATAACGATAGAATTTTTGCTGCATACTTCCTTAAATTGAGAAATTGATATACAGTAGAGCATCGATTATCCAACCCCCGATCAACCGTCACATCGGTTAACCGAACATGTTCTAGTCGACAAATTCAAATATCCGCTAGTGATGTGGTGCTATAATATTTGGCTATGTCTTGGCTACTTTATTATTATTTTTGTTAAATCTTTGCTGGCAACACTTGCTCAACCATGAAAGGGAGGCCAGTATTTAAACGAGGCTTAATTTTCTAATTATGAGTGGTTGTTTTTGTGTGGATTTTTCTGAGGACTGTGTCATGCTGAATTGGAATCTGTTTTTCATCGGAAATATAACTTTTAAACTTCATTTTCTAATGTATATGCCTACTTTATGTAAAATATGTAACCCGAATACTGTATATTTTTTTTGTTTTATATTTTTCAATATACAGTACAGTACTGTATTTATTTTGTGCAAAATAAAGAAATAATTTTTAACAATACAATAGCGACAATTATTATTTAAAAAAAATTTTGTTAGGCTTAACATTGATGAAAATTTAACGCGAAGTAGGTTAATAGTGATATACTAATATGCTATACTAATATATTTTTTCATACTTTTTGGTTATCCGACCAACCCCAGTCCCCAATTGAGTCAGATAATCAATGCTCTACTGTATTTTATAATATTGTGCAATGTGGGATGCATAAAATATTAATCCAGGTCACATTAATGCCCACCCCTGGTGTAATTAATAGATACTTAAGACTAACCTCTTTGGTTATATTTGTAAACTCCAGCAGATGGTGGCAAAAATTGAACACGTTTTCTATGAGAAAATCCTTTTCCAAAATTTCTCAAAAACAGAAGTGGATAGAAGAATTAAATAGGATTCTAACACAAAAAGACTTTGGTTCTATTAACTTACGGTTCAGAATTTTGAAAAATCAAATTACTATAGTTAATTTTCTATGAATAAAATTAAAGTTAATGAATTTGATTTTCAAAATTCCAAGCCATACATTAATAGAAGAAATTAAATTGAATCAAACAGTTCCTTGGCATTAGAATTCTACCTACACAGATTTTGAGAAATTTTGGAAAAGGAATTTTTCAGTGTTAGAAAAGAAAAACTTCAAATTTTTAATCTGCTGGAGATTGCATGCATAACCAAAAGAGGTTATAATCAGCCTTAAAATAATTATCTGAATAGAGTGAAGGTAAAATTTAACAAGCACATTTATTGTTCTAAATATCACTTTTGGATAGCTGTTTTTATGTTCAAGTATGTCTTGTCTCTTTAATCCGACATTAAGTTCGGTAGACTATCATTACAGCTTTCAGGTTAGACATTTCTTTTATTGTTTCCACATATGCATTTCGGACTTATATAAATGTTAAGTCCCTCTTCAGTGCAATGCTACAAATTATTAAAAAAATTAAAAAACATAATTAGTACATGACAAAATTCTTCGCGTGCAGATAATATTTACTGACAAAATAAAACTTAAAAATTGCCACACTTATACGATACCTATGGTTCTGTCTTTTAAAACCACAGTGTACAACGGGTAACATTGGAAAGATTTTAAAATACAGCCCTTAAAAACACCTCAAATACATTTTCACCATTAAGAAGGAAAACCTAATATATTAATAATTTTAGGATTTTTACTTTATAACATCATATATCTTAATAAAATAACAATCTAACATGATACTCACTTTTAAAATTTGTTCATAAAATCTTATATAAGTACAACTTTTAAAGAATGTGTATGTTCTACAATAAAACGTTGCAGTAACTGCAATTATAATCGTTTTACAGATAGTATAGTAATATTAAAATCATTTTTTAAGGGATACATACACATTTTNTATACAATTATTAGAACTTTACATAAATTAACTTTTCGATGAGCATTCGCCTTCCGTCTGTTACAATCAGGGTGGTTGGATTTCACAATTTCTTGATTATCTACACAGATTTATTTCTACATCTAATTATATTTTAACTTATACATTGCATTCAGTATGTACCTTTTTACCCATTTTAAAAACACTTCAAATTTATTCATTATTCCGTATACAATATCTCAATGTTTTTACATTACATAGATCTTATTTTTGTTATTAAATTCATATTTATGATAGCTACTATATATTTAAATAAATAGATATATCTATTTATTTAATTATAACTTAATTATTTGATTATCAGAGCATCATATACCATCATATGAAAAAATTTAGAAATTGAGCAAAAGTTTAGATTTTATAATTATTCTGATAGGTCTAATATACTTTGTAGTTTTTCTTTTTCAGATCTTTTGTTTTTTTCTAAATATTTTATAGTATTAAAATTATCAGCATATGGCATAAATAAAAAATATTGAAAGTAATGTTTCTAAATTTAACTCTTACCTTTACAACATTTTCTATTAAATCTCTTGGTATTAGAGGTTCATCTGGGACAGGCTGATATTTTTCAAGAAGAGTAAAAAGTTGAAGAGAATTTAACTTAAAACAAGAAGAACTAATTGAAGCAATATCTTCAGGACTACTTTTGGGTGCTTGAAGTAAGTGTGCAGCCTTGAAAAATTTTAAATAGATAATATTATTTGTAATCATTGAAACTGATGCATAAAATATAGCATATAACATAATTATTATAACTGACTTTATATAATATAAATGCAATTTAATCAATACAATTTGTTAATCAGATCTGAAAGTTGCAACTAGACTGAAAACAGCTGCTCATGCTTTATTTATTCTCAATAAGTATTTCAATTTATGATAGTATATGACTTGGTAATATATCTATACTAATGTTATAAGGAGGTAATGTTTGTAAATAAATAAATAAGTAAGTAAGTAAGTAAGTTTGGATGTAGTGGGTAATCTCCGAAACTACTCATCTGATTTCAAAAATTCTTTCACCAATATTTAGAATGGAACTTCAGGGTGGACATAGGCTATATATTATTCCGTTAAACATTCATATAAATTAAAATATATAATCTAGGTTAAGGGTTTTATGTCCAACAGATGGCACTACGAGTACGATGCTCTAAGTTTGCTTTTCTGTGAGGCATTATGCTTTTCTGTGAAAATGAACTAAAGCAAATCATCTATCTATCTATATAAATAAAAATGTAATGTTCGCTTGTTCCTACCAATTCCTTTGAAATTTTGACATAACGCTGCATTCGAATATGCACATGTTTTTATATAATATACGTGTCAAAATTCCCCCTTGAAGGGAGACGGTTAGGATTAAGGCTTACCATAAAGAACTCTGCTTCTATTTATACTACTTTAGATGGGTTTTTTGCGTTTTTGATTGCGTTTTAATAGGGTAGGTCAACAGAATGTACACTAAGAAGGGATTTTTTGATATTCCCCCCGCGGGGGAGAGAGACAGGATTAAGGCTTACTCTGAAAAACTTGGCTTCTATTATACTATTTTAGATGCGGGTTTTTGCGTTTTTGATTGCGTTTTAATAGGATACGTCAACAGAATGTACACTAAGAAGGAATTTTTTGATATTCTCCCCGCGGGGGAGAGAGACAGGATTAAGGCTTACTCTGAAAAACTTGGCTTCTATTATACTATTTTAGATGCGGGTTTTTGCGTTTTTGATTGCGTTTTAATAGGGTACCTCAAGAGAATGTACACTAAGAAGAAATTTTTTGAAAAATTTCCCCCCACAGCGGAAGTGTTATACATTTATAATAGATACATTTTGAGCCACAACAACGCATGGCGAGGTCTGCTAGTTAAGATATATGATGTTATAAAGTAAAAATCATAAAATTATTAATATATTAGGTTTTCCTTCTTAATGATGAAAATGTATTTGAGGTGTTTTTAAAGGGCTGTATTTTAAAATCTCTCCAATGTTACCTGTTGTATACTGTGGTTTTAAAAGACAGAACCATAGGTATCGTATAAGTGTGGCAATTTTTAAGTTTTATTTTGTCAGTAAATATTATCTGCACGCAAAGAATTTTGTCATGTACTAATTATGTTTTTTTAATAATTTGTGGTATTGCACTGAAGAGGGACTTAACATTTATATAAGTCCGAAATGCATATGTGGAAACAATAAAAGAAGTGTCTAACCTGAAAGCTGTAATGATAGTCTACCGAACTTAATGTCGGATTAAAGAGACAAGACATACTTGTACATTTATTGTTTTCACTTATAATTTTTTTGATTTTGCTAAATCTTTCAATTTATAATAATAGGAAGTAAGAAATATGCCTTTATGTTATTTGATGTTAAAATTTTAAAATTCGGCTTTGTAATAAGAGGTAGTTTCAATAGTATGTCATGGATACACAAAATGTTACACTCAATTAAAGTAATTAAGAAAACACACTTAATATGGATTAAGTTAGACAATGCATCTCTTGTTT